TATATAAAAACAATGCCATTATCCCCCCTCCCAAACAAAGCCAAATGAAATCTTTGTAGTCACAGATCAGCATGTACTTTGTTATAACCCACGCCGTTATTCTCCCTTCCCCCCCCCAAAAAAAACAAATCAATTCTTTATTAAGGCCATAGACCAGCATATATCTCTAAATAAAACATGCCATTATCCCTCCCCCCAACAAAGCCAAATCGAATCTTCACTAGTCCTAGACCAGCATATATCTTTATATAAACCATGCATGCCATCATCACCACCAAATCAAATCTTATATTTAGCCCACCGACCCAAATCTCTCCTTCCTGCCATCGCCCCCAGGCCTCCGCCTCGGACCTGAGCAGGGCCAGGAAGGCGGCGGGCTCCACGTCGGGCAGCTCGATCTCGGCCGAGGTGGTGGCCATGCCGCCGTTGAACATGGCGTCGAAGACGGCGCTGCCCGCCGCCAGCACGAAGCGGTGCGCGGGGATGCGCTGCTGTCCCGGCCCGGGCGCCCCTCCGCCGCCGGCCCGAGAGCCGCCTTTGCCCACCACGAAGCGCACGTCGCTCAGCAGCTCGTTGGCGAAGAGGAAGGCGAAGCGCTCCCTCAGCGACCGCTTCGTGGCCTGCCAGTTGTAGGCCGGCTCGCGCTGCACCATCACCGGGGGCGCGGGCGCCGGCACCCCCGCCACGCCGGCCGGGCCTTCGTTGCCCGCGGCGGTTGCCAAACCCGCCTCAAGGCCGCCCGCGGCCGCCATTGCCAGCCCTCCTCCTCCTCCTCCTCCGGCCCGCGCAGGCGCTCTCGTCCCTTCTCTCTCTTTCGCCTCACAATCCGCCCGGCGCCTCCCGGGAGGTGTCTGCGCAGGCGCGACGTCGCTCACGGAACGCCAACGTGCGACCTGAGTCTGTCTGCGTCTTCCCACAACCACCCACCCCGGCGGCTAGCCGAGCGCGGCTGCGCGCGCCTCTCCTCCAGGCTCGCAGAGGTAATAATGGAAGAGGAGACCGCCGCGGTTAAACACGTCTTCTGGGCTCGCGTTTGCGTCATGGTCGACCAAAAATGCTCCTTTTCCCCCCCCCTCCATCGGGGGAGAAAATCGCGAGAAGCGCCACAGATTCCCCCCCCCCCCCCAGTCAAAATTGCAAGGGAAAATGGGGCTTTTTGCTGTTTTGGTTTGGGGTACAGAATATGTTTAGGTTCTTGGGGGTAGGGGAATCATAAAAGGGAGCAAAAATATTGAGAAATTTGAGAAAAATCTTGAGCAAATCTGAAAGAGGCTCTTAAATATTTTTTTTTAAAAAAAACAAAACCTTATGCTTATGACTTTGCTTTACAAAGGAAAATTCAAGAATAAAAGCAAGAAAATAAATACATGGAAAGGGATGCTTTCTGAAATAAAGGACTGGGCTTTATATCAAAGGAGGTGTGGCCGCTGTAGATTTGTGATGCCCTCTGAATGAAATCACCAGTGTATTTTAAGAATGCGTACAGTATGCTTTTTTTAAAAGAAATGTAAATGTGGGAGCTTAACAAATGTTGATTTCCAACTCTAGTTTTCTAACTGAATTGCCTTTCCTCATCAAAGCGCACCAACGTGCCTACCGTCCCTGTCCTATTGTTTCTCTTATTCTTTTATTTTTCTTATATGTACCCATTTCATGTATTCACAACTATGTATACATTTATACTTATTATCTTGTAAACAATTGGCAAATCAAATAAATAAATAAATAAATAAATAAATATGAGGAGCAAAGTTGCCATGTGAAGAATGTTTGTGAATTCCAATGGGATGATACAATGATGCCAGACAGGGATACAGTATTGTATTTCTAACTCTATTAGGAAGTCTTTCATTTATAAATGAAACAAGGAAACATTAATGTTTATCTTCCTTCTTAGGACATGGTTAGTTGCAGCAGTCAAAATATTGCAACTTGAAATGATGGCAGAAGAGGCACCAGCAGGTCCTTTGAAGATGCATTATGCTGTAATCGAAAATATAAATTCCCATGGTTCAATTAAATCCCAAGGGAAAACTGGAGGTGGGATTTTTGTCCCTTTGAGGACAGTCAGGGGTCTGTAATTAGAATAATGTGCAGCTATCTTCAGGGAGGTGGTTTAAAAAGTCAAAATGGCAGTTGTGGCTGTACAATAGAAACCCTGCCTCTTCTTTTCCATTCCCCACCATCCAGTCAGAGCTGAAGAAGCTTCTTGGATGAGAAGCTAAATGTCTTCAAAGAAAAACCAGAAAGTCCAGTTGCCTCCTGAAAAAGCACCTTTGGTACAACTATGACCTGGATGACTGAGAATCTCCATAGACATCTTGCCTCTTCTAAAACTACATCATGCTTGCTGGGGAATTCTGGGCAATAGATCACCTGCAGAAACAGACTGCAATGTACAAACATATTCAGCATCACAGATGAATCTACAACAGAGACATGTAGCTGCACATGCAAGCATGCCTAATAATATACATGTTAGGAAACGTACATTGTTAGGAACCACATATGCAAACACATGTGTCATAGCAGCAGGTGTCTCTATGAAAACACATCAGGGGATCTGTGTTGCATTTGTACATATAAAACTACACTGTAAAAACAGCTGAACTTGGCTTGGTTTAGCTCTCCGATCCCAGCATGATTTTATCTATATAAAGATACTTCTCACACACATTTTTTTAAAAACTAAGTTTGATCTCAACCTGACCTAAACAGTGCAAACTCCACGCCTTAGATATCATCTATTGCAAAACAATTTGAGACAGATTTTTAGCACCATGACAACACCACAGAATTTGTTGCATGTCCATCATTACTGAGAAAGAAATAGCTGGATGTTAAACTTAGCTTCGAATCTTTGCCTGCTATCTTGGGGGGGGGGGAGGCTATAAAGGTGGGGAGGAAGCAGGTCAGATATCCATGTTCTGGAATTAAGATTTCAGGCCCGCCTCCTTGGCAGATTGCCTATTGGTCTGGAGAAAGAAAGAAGTCCACACAAGATGTATGGCAAAACCTACAATGATGTTGGGCATGTCATGATGCAATCATGTTGTTGGAAGTTAAAACCCACCCCTCTCCTAGGAAAATAAAATATTTTGGGATATATTAAAAAGGCAGAATATTTCCCCTAAAAGAGAAGTAGAAACTCAGAGAGGCAGAAACTCAGTCCTACCACATTTGTTAATGGGCCATGAAGGCCTAGGCCAGTCTATTCTACATAACAAAGATCTACCTCCTTCAGGCAGAGCCATTTAATTGCCCTTCATTGCACCAAGTTTCAACCAAACTTAGCACACAGACAACCTACAGAGCTAGCCATGAGCTCTGACAGCAACCAATCAGGATACTCTTCCTGTGCCCCAGGAAGTTCAAAGCCAGAGAGGGTAGAAAACCCAGGGATTCTCAACATCTCTTCCCCTTTTCTTTGCCCAAGAGCTCCAAAGCATGTGGTCCTGTCCACCATTAAACCATCTTTCCAAACAGCCTCCATGTTTCCAGTGTCTCTCCCCACTTGGAACTGAACCCAGATGGACATTTCTTCCAACAATGTAAAAGACATAGAGTCTATAGTTGGCACAATGATGTCGTATGAGCAATATAAGAGAGTGTAACACAGTAGATGAAGGTTTTCCAAGGTGAAATTACAATAAATTTGAAACAAACAAACTTAAGTGACCTCACTGAAATGTAAGACTCGGATCTTGATCTTGCATAGCCTTAAATTGGTTTTTGAAAAAGAAAAAAACTGGATGAATGTGTAAATTGTAATTGCTATTGCTGATTCCTGCCCTGCCTCTATTGCCACTGTTCTCAGCCACTGGCTCCCTACAAAATGAACAAAAAGTCCATTTGGAAGCTAAGCTTGGATGGCATGAAAAGGTTTTTGCACCACAGCATGGATAAGGATCATTTAGGCCTATAAAGAGAAGAGAGAATGACAACCAGATGGGGAGACTATAGAAATAATAGGTTGCCAGGAAGTGTTTATGACATTGTTAAGTGCAAATGGAAGGGGTGGGATAAGATTTACTCATTTATTTACAAATCAAATTATCCTTTATTGCACTCATTAAACAGCAGATTGTATTTATATTCCACCTCCCTCCCAAAACTCCAGTTTATTTGCAATAGAAGCAGCAGTCTATTAACACAAGTAAGGAAGTAAAGATAAATACTCAGTGGCTGCTTAAGTGAGGCGCCCAGAAAGCTTCATAGAAAATCAAACCTTTAGGAACCACGCCAGTCTTTCCCTGAAGATGACATCTACAGAAATCCTACTGCAAGTCCTTAACTTATGACCCCAACTGAGCCCAAAATTGTTCCTAAGCGAGACAGTTGTTAAGTGAGTTTCCTCTCATTTTCTCATCTTATGATTAGATTTATTTATCTGGGCAAAATAATGGAACCTCTCCATTGGCTTGAACATCTCTTGGCAACTTGATGGACACCTCTATATTGTTTCTGAAGCAGCCATTCCAAGTGATTTGCCGCTGCTTTTTTCTGTGGTGATTTTGGATCTTTCCCTCTGGACTACAGTCTCTGGGGTTTTCTTAGGGTCCCACCAAGAGCTAACCAGGTCCTGCATAGCCTTCTGAGATCAACCAGGGTTGTCCAAGGGCTCCTAAAGGAGTGTGAGTGAACCTGAAGTAGATTGGTTCTCATCCCCTGTTCCACTTTCCTATAATCATTTTTCCTGGACAAGGAACACTGGTAGCTTCCACCTCTGGGCAACAGCTGGATTGGACCTAAGAAACTAACCAGTGGGCAGGTGAGGGTTTTGCTGAAGATCCCAGGTCTGGAGGCCAGCATTGGCTGAATGCTGAATTCTTGTCTGAATCCTGAGTAGCCTCGTGAAAGCTGGCTGCGCAATGCCTTGACTGAGCACCCCGACGTCTTAGGTTGCCTCTCCGGGTTGTCTGGGTATTCCTGCCCAGAGATGGGCTGGGGAGGAGGAGGAGGGACCCCAATAAACCCACCCGCTTTTGCCTGATCTGATCGGGCGGCGGCGTTTCTCTGGCCATGGGAGCCTTTGGGCGCCCGTTCCGCTCCAACAGCGGCACCAGCAGCGCACAAGGGCGCACCGGCTTGGCGAGAGGAGGGCTGGAGAACGAGGTGGGAGCCCTCCCCACGCATCAGTCGGCCGGGCTGCGAGCCGCGACGCCCGGGAGCCTGCAGAGTCGGCCAGCCCGGAACGCATGGGAGCAACTGGCCAGGCAGCTCTGAAGCCCAGCGCCGGAGCCGGGAGCGCCATGCCGCCGGTTTAGTTCCTTCGAGCCAGTCTCCGAGCCCAGGCGAGGAGGGGGAAGAGGAAGAAGAGGAGGAGGAGGAGGAAGAAGAAGAAGAAGAAGCGGGCCAACTGCTGGGATGAGCGCCGCGGCCGCCACCGGGGTCTTCGTGTTATCCCTCTGCGCCATCCCCGTCACCTACCTCTTCAACGCTTCGGCTGCCACCGGCAGGTGAGCCAAGGGGGCAGGTGCGGGCGTTTTCTCACGTGCGCGCTGCCAAGCGGGGCCGGCGTAACGTGGGAAAGGGGCTCGCGGAGGCGAAGAAGAAGAGGAAAGGGGGCGCAAAAGTGGCAAGAGCATTGAGAGAGGCGCGCGCAAAGAGCGAGCTTCGTCCCAGGTGGAAAAGCGGTCAGGGTGCCTTGGAGGCAGCCCCCGTTTCTCTGGCCGCCCGGCCCGATGCACCCCAAAAAACCAGGAGGGGAGCGCTTTGCAGGATTGGGGAGAATTCGGGGGGGGGGGCGGTTTGCAGGAAGCTGCATTTACACCTGCTGGTCATTGCTTCTGAGCCAACACGGATCTGTGTGACTGCTGTCGTGTGCATGGTGCCTTAAGGATGAGGTACCTTGGATTCGACTAGCTCTGCTTAGGGATGAGTGATCGTTGCTGAAGTATGTATTGGGTTGGGGGGAGGTGAGGGAAAGGGGCTTGAATAAATTGAACAGCATCATGGGCCATGGTTTGTCTCCCCTACCTTCAGCTGCTTGCTTTCTGGCAACTTTCCCCAAATGCCACAAGGGAGAATATTAAGTCCCATGGGTTTTTCAAATTGCATACTTTTTATTTGTTGTGTTTGGTTAGTCACACTGGGCCAGAAGTCGCCCAGCATGCTGCATTCAAATCCAACCAACCACTTTAGAGCTGGGATAGAAACTGCAGCCTAATTTGGGAACAAGACTGATTTATAAATTCACACGTGGTACACTCGAGTAAGCCCAAAATAGCCAAGTTCGCACATAACTGTTGCAAACCAGGTGTACAAAGCAGAGTTGCGGTGTTGCTTGCGTTCCAAGCCGCCTCGCCCAATTCAATTGCCTGGGAACAGCAGGTTTGCTCAGGGCTAACTAATCCTTAATTAAAAGAATCAGGTCTCTGCATTTGCAAAACAACAAAGTATCACTTAAGTCATAAATGAACTGCACCAACAAGATTGACAGGGCCATAGACCCAGCATGAGAGGTCAGGGGAAGGCACAGAGGTCATTCTGTAGAATCCCTGATGAATAGGGAAGTGTTTACCCATCCCACCAAAACTAAAAGGCAGGATATATTGCAAGGATGTACATCTGATGGGACCACAAAAAGGACCTTCTCAGTGGTGGCCCCTTTCTTTATGGAACATCCTCCTCCTCAGTGTATGATTAGCCTCCAGCCTGTTGCTTTTCCTAAAGGCCCTAAAGGTGTAGTTTTATCAGTAAGTTTGAGGTCCCCAAATAATAATAATCAAGGGGTTAATTTGACTGTGTTGCTTGCTGCCATTGGGTGGAGTTGAGTAGATGTTATTATCAGATCAATCTGATTTGATATCCTTGACCACAGCCAAGTACTGTTCCGCACTTTGCAAAATATGTTAACTCTATCCTTGTTTAGATATTTTAGAATAGCAATAGCACTTAGACTTATATACCACTTCATAAGTGCTTTACAGCCCTCTCTAAGCAGTTTAGAGAGTCGGCCTATCACCCCAACAATCTGGCTCCTCATTTCACTCACCTTGGAAGGACGGAAGGCTGAATCAACCTTAAGCTGGTCAGGATCAAACTCCAGACTGTGGGCAGTGCCAGCTTGCAACACTGCATTCTTAACCACTGCACCACCATGCCTCATATGTGTGTGTGTGTGTGTGTGTGTGTGTGTTTTCTCTTAAGTTTTCACGGGTACTTACATGTATGGTATTCAGCTTTGTTCGGGTATTTTCCCACGTCATTATAGTTGTGCTTTTAAAGTTATAGCAACATTTCGGCAACGTTTTATATATATATATATATATATATATATATATATAAAACTTCATTTTTTCCTTTTATCTTAAAATGAATTGTGATTCGTGGTTTTTTTTTTAATTTGATGGTCCATGACCAAATAAAAGTTTGATTTGATTGTGTTGCTGCTGCTGCCGCCACAGGGTGAGGTTTTTACCTTGTGGGCTTTTAATGTTGTAAGCCACCTCGAGTCACCTGTGTGTGACTTGGGCGACCATATAGGTTTGTTTCACAATAATAAAACTTGTGCAGAAAACACTCCCTTCCTCTTCTAGTCATGGCTTTCCCCAGTCTGGCCATCAGAAAGGCACCAACTTGGGTTCATTTTGTGTGCCCAGTTGGCTGTTTTGTTGTGGCTGGGATGTCCTTTGCCCTTGGAACAATACCCGGAGTTTGCACAGATTGTGTTTCAAGTTATATAAAGGGGGGACATGCTGAACAGGCTGTTGTTGATGTAATGGCTTAGAAGGTACCCAGGGGAGGGCCAGGCCAGGCCAGGCCAAGAACAAGAGCAGGAAGGCCTGGCTCTTTGGTCACTTTCATAAGCTGGGCTGGTATTTTTAGAAGCTGCCCTGCCCTCGTCTGCCTGCTGCTGCCTGCGCTGACATGTTGTGGAAAGGGGCACAACAATAGCCAGCAGCTGCTTTCTGCAGAAGAAATGCCAGAGGTTCATTTGTCAAGAGAGAAGTGGCAGGCTTGGCCTGAGTGCAAATGTTTTCTCCCTACAGCCCATGTTCCCCAGCTCAGCACACAGAGAGAGTGTGACTCGCCATCAGAATTAGCATCCCTGGACATCTGCTCATCGTTCCTTAGCGTCCTTCTTTTCTTGATGTAAATGCAACGTTTTCTTCCAATTTCCCTCCATCGCAATGCTTTTTAAAGCAGCAGCCTCCAACCTTTTGAGCACTGGGGAGAAAGGTTTTTGCGTGGCCCGGAGGGGATGTCGTTTTGCGTGCTGCCTGCCTCCCAGAGATGGGGCTTTGCTTGTTTGCGTGGCCCGGTTTCTCGCATGCCGTGGCCCAGTTCCAGTCCACGGACCAGGGGGTTGAAGACTCCTGCTTGAATGAAATGGAGAGAAAGAAACTATTTTCACCTTGCATGGATAAGGTAAAGGTAAAGGTTCCCTCACACATCCGTGCTAGTTGTTTCCGGCTCTAAGGGGCGGAGAGGAGCCAGCGTTGTCCGAAGACGTCTCCGTGGTCATGTGGCCGGCAGGACTAAAGGCCTTCAAAGGCGCACGGAACACTGTCCCCCTCCCACCAAAGGGGTCCCTATTTTTCTACTTGCATTTTTACATGCTTTCGAACAGCTAGGTTGGCAGAAGCTGGGATAAGTAATGGGAGCTCACTCCATGACGCGGCGCTAGGGATTCAAACCGCCGACCTGCTGACCTTTCTGATTGACAAGCCACCGTCTTAGCCACTGAGTCACCGCATGCATGGATAGCAGAGTCTAAAGTCTGGATCTCCCTACTGTGTGTGTGTGTGTGTGTGTGTGTGTGTTCATGTTAATTTATGATTCTTGGTGAGTCCCTGGATAAGTCCTTGCACGTTTTCTTGGCAAGGTTTCAGAAGTGGTTTGCCATTACCTCCTTCCTGGGGCTGAAAGAGAGCAAGTGGCCCAAGGTCACCCACCTGGCTTTGTGCCTAAGGTAGGACTAGAACTCACAGTCTCCTGGTTTCTAGCCTGATGTCTTAACCACTGCACCAAATGAGCTCTCAAATGAATGCCTCTGCCTTTACATCAGACTTGACTCTTGGTAGCTGTCTGGACTAATCTTTGCTGTTTTCTTGGGAAGATTTTTGGAAGTGGCTTGCCATTGTCGTCTTCTTCCTAGGGCAGGGAGAGAGAGAGGGACTGGTCCAAGGCCACCCAGTTGGCTTTGTGCCTAAGGTGGGACGAGAATTTACAGTCTCCTGGTTTCTGGCCTGATACTTTGATACTTTGATACTCTGGCCTGATACATCATGCAATACAACACAATGGCTGACTCCCTATTTATAGTCCAGCCCAGTAGTGGGATTCACATTTTTTTACTACCGGTTCTGTGGGCATGGCTTGGTGGGCCTGGCAGGGGAAGGATACTGCAAAATCCCATTCCCTCCCCACCCCACTAACCTGCTTTCCAGCTCCCTTCTCCTGTGCAGGGCAACAAAAGAAGATCCAGCCGATCAGCTGAGACTCAATGGGAGGCGGAGAATAGATGGGGGCTGGGCCAGTCAGAGGTGGTATTTGCTGGTTCTCCGAACTCTTCAAATTTTCTGCTACTGGTTCTCCAGAACTGGTCACAACTAACTGAATACCACCTCTGGTCCAGCCCTTTAACCACTACACAATAGATCTCATAGCCAAAGCTAACAGAGCCATTCAGCTATTGTTTCTCCATTTTCTTCTTCCTTGTTGCCCTTTGCTTGCTCCCTCCAAGGATATCAGCAGCAGTTTGCAGCTGAAGGATGCTAAACACTCAGGAACCAGGGGTGGGATTCAAAATTTTTAACAACTGGTTCTGTGGGCATGCCTTAGTTGGTGGGCGTGGCTTGGTGGACATGTGACTGGGTGGGCATGGCTTAGTGGTCATGTTATTGGCTGGGTGTGGCCAACTCAATATCACTCACATCGAGGCACGCATCTCCTTGCCTGGCCTCTCATGACTTTGGGGATGCTACAACAGTCATAAGTGTGAAAAACGGTCATAAGTCACTTATTTCAGTGCCATTGTAACTTTGAATGACCACTCCACACAAGCAAAGTACCAGCAAAGGAAGGGAAAAAAACTCCAGAGACGTTCCTGAGACATGAAGTCTAGTCCTGCCAAGAATGTAATAAGGGTTAACGGAGAGGCAGTTTCTGTAAGCAACACCAGAATGTTTCCTTCCTGCCTTCCTTACAGGATTAGCCCAGTAATTTCTTCTAACAACCGGTTCTCTGAACTGCTCAGAATATTAACAACTGGTTCTAGCGAATAGGTGTGAACTGGTAGAAGCCCAGCCCTGTCAGGAACACAAAAGACAACATTCAGGCCATCTAGCCTCATCCTCAACACTGAAGTTAGTAGGGGGATGTGAACTTTGCTGCAGGACCTGAAGTTTGGAAACTGTTAGGTTAATGTCGATAGCCATGACAATACCTTTGCTCCTAAAGGGTTCGTTCATCATATTAGATCACCACTGGGTTAAATAGGGTTTATGGCAAACTTGATGTTATTAGCTTGGAGTATCATGCAAGCCAGGTCTTTGGTTCTCACAACTGGCTTTGTCAGAAAAAGGCCAGCTAACTGTTGGAGCATCTCAAAAAACTGAAGCTGTCTTCTCAAACCTCTCCCCCCACCCCTGCCACCATCTTAATTAAGCCAGTGAAATACAACAAAAATCCAACAGTACTGTTTTTGTGGCTTGTGGCTTGTGAGGAAGGAAAAGGAAATGACTTGCAAGTGTGCTCCCCACTGAAGTTTCATAGTTCCTTTAACGATTGACTCGCAGAAGGCTAAGCTGCATTTGTCAAAGAAAAAGAGTTCCCATTATTTGTTGTGGTTCTCGTTTATAAATATCTGAAGCTGCTTACAGTCCAATTCTGCACCGCCAAAGATCAGCAAAAATTTATCCCATAGGGAAAATTATTCACCGTTCCAGATTTTCCACCACAGAGCTATCAATAATGATTTCCCATGTGTGTTGGGATGCTCTGAACTACAGAATTGGAAGGGGGAAAAAGCACTGGGTGAAATCAGCATTTCTCTTTTCCTTCAGTTTTATTTGAGGAAGTGAAGGGTAAAAATATGTTAAGATGACTTTTTTCCTCTTCTGGTTTCTCACTTTTGGTTTTTATTCCCTGCAGCTCTTGGGTCATTGTAATAGCTGGATTGTTAATTCTGGTCTTGGTGGGCTTGGCAGCTCGGTTTCTAGTGAAAAGGAGACCACCAAGTGATCCACTTTTCTATGGTATGTATTGGTGCGTTGTGGACAAAGTAAACTGGAGTGGCAAATCGATAATTCAGATCACACCATAGTAAACCGTAGTTTAACTAAAGGTCATTGTACTCACTGTAATTGACTGAATTTAAATGAATGCTAAGTAATAATGTTAAGCCAAAGTCCAACACTATGCTTTAATGGCTTGTTAGTATTAATTGTGGCTGAATGCATTCATATTCTGAATTTGCATAATGTAATAAATGAAAAATTTTAGATCTTCTCCAGGTCCGGTTTAGTATGTTGTGCAAAGACAATTGTTGCGTATTATTAATTATTGATTTGAGAAATTAAGGTTTCTTGATATAAGAACAAGTTGTGATAAGTCTGAGACAGTGGCCTCATTCAGATGCTGCACTAAACCATAATGTATTTATTTTTGACTTGGTACAATTCGCAACCCCACCCATGATTTAGCATGAAGCACCAGCTAAGGCCTTGTAGCTAATTAAAAACAAATTATAATAAAAATAATTGTGGCTTAATATAATAGGTAAAAGCAGCCAGTGGTTGCTTTTCACTGCTCAGTCAGTTGGTAGCAAAAGCTTTATTCCATGTTTCCATTTGTAACTCCCCTCCAGCAAGAAAAGTATAGGTGAAAATAAGAGGGCTGCAAATAGAGAATGGCATTGATGACATTTGAACATCACAGTGAAAGATAAAGTCTGTGAACGAGGCCAGACAGTTGCAGAAAAACAACTTGTGCAATAATAAATTTGAAAGTCTTGAAAAGACCGGTGGTTTCACTTGTAATTAGAAAATGCTTCTTCTTTTTTCCCCCCCTGTAGTTTACGCCGTGTTCGCTTTTACCAGCATCGTGAATCTAATCATTGGGCTGGAACACGATGGGATAATTGATGGATTCATGACTTATTACTTGAAAGAGGTAAATAATTACGGCTCGTTAGGGGTGGAGGAAGTGGGTAGACAGCTGGGAGCCCTGGTGTTGCAGTGGTTAGAATGCAGTATTGCAGGCTGACTCTGCCCACAGCCAGGAGTTCGATCCGGATGGAGCTCAAGGTTGACTCTGCCTTCCACCCAGATTGTCAGGGGCAAGATGCTGACTGTCAACCATTTAGAGAGCACCGTAAAGCACCGTGAAGTGGTATATCAGTCTTAAGTGCTCTGGCTATTGCTATTTTCTCCTGGAATACTCGAACGGAGAGCAGTGAGGTTCGGTACAGTCCTTGCAAAAGATCATTCACTTCTGCATTCTTCATGCTGATGTGCTGGAGGCTCGCCAACGGATTCTGAGAATTTTATGATCGGGAAGCAAACCACAGTCTCCACTAGCTGCAGATTCTCAGAATTGCAGGCTTAGGATATTAGGAAAGATTGCTGGAAAGAACAATCGACTTCTACAATTTAATCTTTCATTTGAAGAGATCAGAAAGTACGCAACTCATCTTTTTGGGGGTGCCTGTGTGTGTGTGTGTGTGTGTGTGTGTGTGAGTGATATCCATTAAAGTGATGATTGGATCATGTACGGTTTGCATGTTCCTCTGATTTTTACCATCTCCTTCCAGCCTGCAAGCTGGATGTACATGCTTGATGCTGCAGTGAAGTTATGAGCCACCAAAGGTCAAAACTACAACAACGGCATAGACATTTCCTCCCTTTGCACAGACTTTGTCCAAAGGTGACAGTCCGTAAATTGGACAACAACATTCTTACGTTTCCTTCGGAGCAATACACAGCCTCCAGACACAGATTGTAGAGGGCTAGCAGCATGCTTCACTTCATTTGTATTCATTTCTATTCTTAACCTCTTTTCCACCAAGTTGATCTGAATGATTCTTCCAAGTACAAAACCACAGAAGATCTTTTCTCTTTACCATCAGCAGAAAACAAGATTCAACAATGAGAAAGGATCTGGATTCATCTGAGGATAAAAAGGGAACTACTTTTATGTCTCAGAGCATTGTGTGAGTCTGGTGTTTACAACAGAGCCTGTTGACAACCCTGAGTTATTGGGTTGTTAACCACAGTTGAGCACTGGGGCAGCATGTTTATCGGGCCCTGGTGGCTTTGAATAAGCTTTTACATGAAGATTTAAAATTGGAATTAGTTTTTAAAGAAATCTCTATCACACATGATGCATTGATTGCTAAACTTGCCAAACCACTTTTTAAATCTACAATAGAGGTCCCCAAACTTGGCAAGTTGAAGACTTGTGGACTTCAACTCCCAGAATTCCTCCTCCAGTCATGTTAGCTCAGGAATTCTGGGAGTTGAAGTCCACAAGTCTTAAACTTGCCAAGTTTTAAGACCCTTGTACTAGCACTAGTATGGGTAGTCCTTGGACTTATAACAGTCCAAGGTCTTAAAGTTGCCAAGTTTGGGGATCCCTGGTCTACCAGATTAAACCAAGGTGGATTTCCATATTATTCCAGGTTTTGTACAAATTCAGGAAAGCTACATTTCATGAGAATGGAAGAAAAATTATCAATGGAAAATGATTTGTGAGTAGAAGCTCTAGAAGGGAGTGAGGTTTACTCCGATTATATACTAGTGCGGTATTTTACCACAGGTTGAGAACCAATGCGCTGTATACTAGCACAGGGGGCTTCAAACTCAATAGCTTTAAGACTTGTGGACTTCAACTCCCAGAATTCCTCCTCCAGTCATGTTAGCTCAGGAATTCTGGGAGTTGAAGTTCTCAAGTCTTAAACTTGCCAAGTTTGAAAAGCCTTGTACTAGCATTAGTATGGGTAGTCCTTGGACTTACAACAGTTCATTTAGTGACCATTTGAAGTTACAACAGCATTGAAAAAAGTGACTTATATGACCATTTTTCACACTTAGGACCATGGCAGCATCCCCGAGGGTCACATGATTCATATTCGGTTGCTTGGCAACCGGTTCATATTTATGACGGTTGCAGCATCCCGGGGTCAGGTATGATCTGCTTTTGCAGCCTTCTGACAAGCAAAGTCAATGGGGAAGCCAGGTTCACTTAACAGTAATTTAACAATGGCAATGATTCACTTAACAAACGGGGCAAGAAAAGTTGTAAAATGGGGCAAAGCGCACTTAACACATATCTCACTTAGCAGCATTAATTTTGACCTCAGTTGTGGTCATAAGTCAAGGACTACCTGTATATATAGCTGTGATGTCCTCCCAGAGTGGTCTGTGAAGGCTTGAAGAAATGTTATGATTTAAATCTTGATTTAAGTCTTGGGGGTCTGTGGCTACGAAAGGTATTTAAAGGGAGGCCGTGGTGAACAAAAGATTAAGAACCACCCTGGTAATGGCTTTTCCTGTCAGTATTACTGAGAGTATTCTTGGTGGTCCCTTGATTAGGCTGTTGCTTATTGTTTAATTGTTTGTCCTAGTTGGTAGTTCATTGATTACCATATTGGAGTAATGTCCCAAAGGTGTTTGTTTTTCCCCAGGAGTTTCTTGTTTTTCTTTGAAGACATTTCGCTTCTCATCCAAGAAGCTTCTTCAGCTCTGACTGAATAGTGTGGAAGCTAAAGAACCTTCTTGGATGAGAAGCAAAACATCTTCAAGGAAAAATCAGAACTGAAGAAGCTTCTTGGATGAGAAGCGAAATGTCTTCAAAGAAAAACAAGGAAGTCCAGTTGCCTTCTGAAAAAAGCACGGCTGGGACAACTACCAACTGGATGACTGAGAATCTCCATAGATATTTGAGTAATAAAATGTCTGCGAGGAAACCACCAAGCTCTGAGACCACCAAGGACCCCCCGGTTCAACCCCGAGCTGCAAATATTCTCTTTGGTTGGAGAAAGATCCGCCAATCTCTGTTGGATAATTACATTCATTGCAAAGACAACCAAGGCTATCATTATGCCACATTTTATCTCCAGCGGAGTTAAACTCAAACAACTTTTTTGTTGTTGTTTCAGCTGAAACTGTTATGTAGCCTTATCTTCTTTGTCATTCAATTACTCTTATGCTTATTTCCCTAGGGTGAACCTTATCTGAACACCGCTTACAGCCACATGATTTGCTACTGGGATGGCTCCATTCATTATCTGATGTATCTTCTGATGGTCGCAGCCATTGCCTGGGAGTACGTAAGCATGACCTTTGGGGAGCTAAGCATGACCTTTGGGGGGAGGGGCTAAGCATGATATGAGCCCTGGTGGCGCAGTGGTTAGTATGCAGTACTGCAGGCTACTTCTGCTGACTGCTGGCTGCCATCAGTTGGACAGTTCGATTCTCACTAGCTCAAGGTTGATTCAGCCTTCCATCCTTCTAAGCTCAGTAAAATGAGGGCTCCTCAAAATATTTTGAGATTGAATCCTCAAAATATACAGCTCTCTTTTCTCCCAATGTGATCTTCACAAAAACATCCCTATGATGTAATCAGGGCAGAGAGATCTTCCAACGATGTGGCTGAAGATAACTCTGAACCCAAATCTTCTTGGTCATGCTCCCACCATCTGAACCCAACAAACTACATTGATGTTGTGTGGCTTCAGCCACAGTGATGCTATTCCCATTTAGATGGGATATTTTCTTTTCTTCACCTGGCAAATACTTCTTACTTTTTGCCGCCTCCACCCTATAGGGCTGAGTATTTTAAAAACGGTCCCATTAATGTTTTAAATGAATGCAATGATTTAGTGCAAGTGATACATTCAGTGATTATAAATATATAGGCACATATAGTTTAATTGTAGCTCCAGAAAGAGGACATGCATCACAATGGTATCTGAAAGCAAGGTTTTCTATTTTCTCTGGCAGGGAAAATTATCGGATGATTGGCTTGTACTGGCTGGGATCCATCACAATGAGCATAATTGTCTTTATCCCCGGAAATATTGTGGGTAAGGAAATATTAAGAATACACTTTGCTTTGGGGCTTTAATAATTGACCTCTTTTCAAAGTCTTGGGTAATTAACCTCTTTTCAGATTGTTGCATTTTCAAGGCAATGAGATTAGTGGTTAACAATGAACTGCATATTATATAGTATCATAGAGCAGGTTGGGAGCATTTAGCTAACTTTGGCCAATCTCAAAAGCCAAGCAGTCTGAGATATGTTTAGTGCTGCGATGGGAGATTGGATAACCTAGAATTGCACACTAGCTGGAAAGTCAAAAATGCATCCTGCATGACAACTTGCCACGGCCAATTCACTGCAGCCAGCTTGCCATGCCCAACTCACCGTGGCCAACTAGCCACAACAACTTGCTGCGGGAGAAGAGTTACACTAATATCAAAGAAATAGTGGACTAGAATCATTAAAGGATGCCCAGGGAGAGACAAAATGAAATGCGAATGACAAGAATTAAAATATTTTTTAAAATTATTTTAAACAATTAAATTGAATTGTTAAATTGTCCTGCAGTGAGCTGTCCCATGGTGAGGCCGCCATGGCAAGTTCTCCCGTGGTGAGTTGACCATGGCATGTTGACTATGGTTAATTGGCTGCAGTCAGTTGTCAGTTGTCCTATTCTGTCCTGCAACAAAGCAGTGATTAATCCCTTTTGTTGTTTTTTCAAGAAAACTGTACGAAATCATCAGGAGTTGAACCCTACTAGAAGGAGACTCTACTCCTGCAGTTGAACTAATAAAACAAATAAGTCACAATTCAGTAAACCGAAAGCAAATTGCATTGTTGCACCATATCTCACACCTGATATAAGCTCAGATTTATATTTGACACCTTCTGGAGGAAAATAAAAAACAAAGTAGAATATTTGTGATGCCTTTCCTCCCCCTTTTTTTCTCCATTTCCTGGAATAAATGTCAACCAGGATGGAGTTGATCATGTAAATTGTGAATTTTGAGAGTTGTAATCTAACACATCTGGATATCACCATACTTAGCTCCCTCCAGATGTGCTTGAATATAACTGCTAGCTCCCAGACAAAATATCTGGAGATTAGGAACGTTTACATGATATTAGCTGTATCTTCATGACAAGAGAATATTACTGTAAGTATTGTGGTTCACTGGCAGCAGAATCGCACAGTGAGGAAGAAAGGGGAGGGAGTCTGGGGAGGACTCGGAAGAGGGTCCTGCGTCCGATGCAGAGATGGGGCTAGGACCATCTGGGAGTGGAGTGCTGCCTCCGGAGCCTCCAGAGTCTGGCAGCAGCAAGGCAGAGGACCCAGGGGAGCCTGTTCCCAGTGTGCATATGCACAGAGCTGCTAGAAGGCGAGAGCAGCCGAAACAAAAGGGGTGACTCAGGAGTAAGGCTGGGAGGTGATTGCCCCTCCCATAAGGGATAAAAGCCAGACCTAAATGATGAAACCTTTGCAGGAAGAAAAGTAGTTTGATCGGTTCTGAGTCATCCTTAAGCTCTGTGTACTTTGGTTGGGTTTTTTTCTTGTACTTCAGTTGGTTTCTTTTATAGCTAATTAGATACTTCTGTTTTTGGCAGCATTCCACAGAGCTGAAAGGTGTGTCTTGGGGGACTGTTTAAGATTAGTTCCGGCTGGGAATTAAAACAATTCCCAGCGTTGCAATAAAATAGGTTTTGCTTTTAAAACAAGTTTGTGATTAATTACGTTTGACAAAGCCTGGGTCAGAACAGTAAGATAGTCTGATATGTGAGCCCAGCTAGGGAGCTTATCTCATGTGTGAATGCATTGTATGAAACTTTGAAAGTGAGATACCTGAATAAACCAGGATTCAAATAACCCAGTTAATCTTGTCATACAAACAAGATCAGTAAACTGCACTGGATTCCTTGTGATTTTCATCTGAATAAGCATGCAAGAGATTTGCGCTGTTCAACCTGTCATTAACCATCCTTAATTCATGTTTTCCCTGTTGCCAAATAGGAAAATATGGAACAAGAATGTGTCCCGTATCTTTGTTAAGCGTGCCGTATATTTGCCTCCCAATATGGGCTGGTTTCAAAATCTATAATCAACCACCAGTAGCTGCCAATTTTCCAGCAAAGGTATTCTTCTTGTTACTGTTGTCATTATGTAAAGGAGAAGGAAAAAGGCTTGAATTTCAAAAGAATAGAATAAGAACCCCCCATTTCCTGATTTTTCTGAATGTGTGGTGACTTGCCAGTATCCTTCTTAAAATGTGGCAGCCAGTTTGCAAGACACTGGGGCTGAATTCACCTCACGCTCAGCCAAAAACGAATAAATCACACTGCAACTCCGAAGGCCTGAGACATGTCATTTCATCCTAGGTGAAGACATATTCCTGCTTACTTTCCCCATGCATAGAAGCACAGTCTTCACGTGTACAGGTAGTCCTTGGACTCACAACAGTTTGTTTAGTGCAGGGGTGTCCAACCTTGGCAACTTTAAGACTTGTGGACAAAGCTGGCTGAGGAATTCTGGGAGTTGAAGTCCACAAGTCTTAAAGTTGCCAAGGTTGGACACCCCTGGTTTAGTGTCTCTATAGAGATTCTCAGTCATCCAGGTCACGGTCATCCCAAAGGTGCTTTTTCCAAAGGCAACTGGACTTACATTTTCTTTGAAGATGTTTCACTTCTCATCCAAGAAGCTTCTTCAGTTCCGAGCCAGAACTGAAGGAGCTTCTTGGATGAGAAGCGAAACATCTTCAAGGAAAAATAAAGTCCAGTTGCCTTTAGAAAAAGCACCTTTGGGACGGGTTTGTTTAGTGACAAGTGACGACGGTACTGAAAAAAGTGACTTTTTATCTTTTTTCAACACTTATGGGTCTAGCGACAACCCCATGGTCACATGATCCGATCCAGACACTTGTCAACCGAATTTTGCCTCATAAATATGAGGCAAAATTCAGTTGCCAAGTGTCTGGATCGGATCATGTGACCATGGGGTTGACTCATATTTATGACGGATGCTGCAACTGTCAAGCCAACTCAATGGGGAAGCCAGATTCACTTAACAACCGTGTTACTAGCTTAACAATTGCAGCGATTCCCTTAACAACTGTGGAATTGTCACGGTGTGGCAAGAAAAGTTATAAAATGGGGCCAAAACTCACGGAACAAATGTCTCCCTTAGAGACATAAATTTTGGGCTCAATTCTGGTCGTAAGTTGAGGACTACCTGCCTTGAGGGAAATGTTCTGAGCCTCAGCAACATCTTACCTTAAGGGGAAATGAATGTGGGTTTTGTTTTGAAGGCAGGTGAAAGTGACAAAACAAGTCTATGAACTAAACATAATTTGGTTTCCAACTCTGCTGCTGCCTCCGTTTGAAGAAGGGTTCTTCAAACAACCTCATGAGGCTAAATCTTTTCAACCAAAAAAAAAAACAAACCTGTTTTTTCTTGTGGTTTTCCTTCTGCTTTTTTGTTATGTCTTCTTGTTGTAAGAGCTACAGTAAATGGCAATGCAATGACTTAGGTTGGCTCGACTCCAAACAGTTAGTACTCCAGAAGCAGTCAGGAAATGTTTTTTTCTGTTTCTTGAAAAACATTTTCTTCTAGGATTTTAGAATAGAATAGAATAGAATAGAACAGAACAGAACAGAATATTGGAATAGAGTAGAATAGAATAGAATATTGGAATAAAGAATAAAGTAGAATAGGAATAGGAATAGAATAGAATAGAACAGAACAGAACAAAATATTGGAATAAAGAATAGAATATTGGAATAAAGAATAGAGTAGAATAGGAATAGAATAGAATGGAATGGAATAGAATAGAATAGGAATGGAGTAGGGTGGAAGAGGAAGAGGAGGAAGAGGATACGAATAGAATAGAATTAGAATAGGATAGAATAACAGAGTTGGAAGGGAACTTGGAGGTCTTCTAGTCCAACCCCCTCTCAGGCAGGAAACACTATACATTGCAGACAAATGGTTGTCCAATCTCTTCTTAAAAACTTCCAGCGTTGGAGCAGTGTTTTGTTTTGTTTTGTTTTGTTGGGAGGGGGAGTAAAAGACTTTTGGGTGTCACACTCTGTAAATGCTAAGCCGTAGTTTGTTTCACTTTGAATTATGGAATTAGGCATCATTGAATAAGTTTGCACAATTGTTAAATTATAACAGTACCATTTGGCTGGGTTGATAAACCATAAATCATGGATTGGGAAGCAAAGTTGCTGAGGCCTCCTAGGATACTCGGCCCAAACTCAACCGACCACATGATTTTGGCAGGTGGTATCAATGAAGTCTGCGCCTTGTTTTCCAAACTGTTTTGACACTTTGGCCCTGCCAAAAAGTTCCTGCTCAATTGCAGAGGCAAGGCCCCTCCTAAAAAACATCTGGCACAGGGTACAAAGTATATTGTTTTGCAGAGATGCTACACCACGCCCTTTGCTGCTTTTGGCGCAAACTTCTAACAGGGCTTCCATCCCCGTTGCAGATCATTAAAGAAGTTCAGAAGCAGAATCTTCTGAGAAGACCGGTCGACTTTCTCTTGGCTTCCTATTTCATTTTTGCAACAGGATTTTGCCTCTTCAGGGGCATGGTAAGTTGCCTTTTTGAAGAACAGAAACCAGAATCTTACAACACAAGGTGTGTGCCATACAAACTTTGTGGAAAGTGTTACATTTGCATTGAAATGTGTTTAAGTTTGCTGCTATGTTTATACTTCAACACGGGGCAGGAAAGGGAAAGGTCCAGGCATGGACATCCATAGGGGGAGGCAAGTGTGATAAGATTTATGAATTGCTGCCTAATGTGGCATTGCAAAACCAGAAGGATGGAGTGTATCACATAGTGTCACAACAATGCATGTTTTGTAACTTTGCATGCTGAAGGCGATGACCAGGCTAAACCTGAGGGAGGGATCAAATGCATCATAAGTCATGAATCCCCTGCACACCTATAAGAGATCAAAGTCCATCCCACTGTGAATGCTGTCTTATTCCCTCTCATTTCCCTGGACCATTAGCAGCTCAGATTTTTGTAGAGAGCTTAAGCTTGCAATAATTTTTTATATTCATTTGGACTGCCTGAATCTTCTGATTTTCCTGGCACTTGACATCCATCCATCCATCCATCTACTGTAGAAGATGACCAGGCTGAGCCCAAGGGAGGAGGGATCAAATACATCATATCACAAGTCCCTGGGCGCCCACAAGAGATCCAAGTCCAGCCCACCTTGAATGCCTCTCTTATCTCCTGCTCACTTCCCTTGACTGCTAGTTGGCCAAATTGTTTTTCTCTTCATACCCTTACATACCTAGGGAGATGGTACAGTAGTTGGAACAAGATTTTCACCAGGGATTTCCTAACTTGTAGTTTATTGCACAGAAATTATGATCCAAATATTATGATCCATTTTTTTCTTTAGATTGTTTTGGACTGTCCAGGTGAACTGTGTCGACTTTACAGCCAACTTCATGAGCCATACCTCAAGGACCCTGCTGCCTATCCAAAGCTTCAGGTGCCCCAGCTGAGACACTTGCATTGTGATTCACACATAACATTTGGAAGCTGCGCTTATGCATTTCAAGAAGCCAGAATGATTACTTTAATTCATGAGGCTAAGCCAAAATTGAATGGATATGGTTATGGTTTAGTTCCACAATGTTTCCAGCTTTGTGGACCAGCAGGTTGGGGAGAAATGTTCCTGCAAAAGCAGCTGGCAAGTGTATGCACGTACAGCTTCATTTGTGCAAGTGCTGAGCATGCATGCAAGCCGCTCGCTTAAATAGAGCGCATGCGCTCACCTGCCATTTCCGTGGCCCAGTTGCAAACCTCTCATGGTCCACAAGTTGGGAGAGCCCTTGTTTAGACTTCTGTGTAAATCTAAATATTGGGATTGGATACTGGCAATTGTTGGCATATGAATCCAGCAAAGAGTTTCTTCAGCAATTGTAGTTTAGCCTGAGGTGTGATGCATGACTGGACAAATCATGCTAATTATCAACATTTTTAGACTAAGACCTTATTGGCTGGCTTTGTACTACAACCAGGCCACAATTTTCAAGCCTTAATAGAGTAGCAAGGTTCATATTTTGCATGAATTTTTTAAAAAAAATCAACTATGGCTTGACCAGATTGTACCCAACTATTATGGTTCATAAACCACGATTTATGGATTAGATGACATCATTTACAAAATTGTACAGGGAGACTTCACACATAAACAAATGGCTTCTGTTTTGAAGGTGCAAAGACCAATTCTCATCTCTTCTAACATTGCAGATGTTGGTCTATATGTTCTACTCAGTGCCATACTACATAATTTCACTCTATGGTCTGCTTGTACCTGGGTGCACCTGGATGCCCGATTTAACTCTTATTCATGCTGGAGGACTAGCTCAGGTAAGACCAGAACATTTTTAATGATCTCGTATGGAAGGCATGGTTTTCCTCTGTCCCACTTCCACATTCAAAGGGGGACAAGCAGCTATGAACCAGAACATAGATAGACTACTGACTATAGAATAACAGAGTTGGAAGGGATCTTGGAGCACTTCTAGTCCAACCCCCTGCTCAGATAGGAGACGCTATACCATTTCAGACAAATGGTTGTCCAATCTTTTCTTTGGAATTTCCAGTGTTGGAGCACCCACAACTTCTGGAGAGAAGCTGTTCCATGGATTAATTGTTCTGCCAGGAAATTTCTCCTTAGGTCTAGGTTGCTTCTCTCCTTGATTAGTTTCCATCCATTCCTTCTTTTCCTACCTTCTGGTGCTTTGGAGAATAAGTTGACCCCCCCTCTTCTTTGTGGCAGCCCCTCAAATATTGGAACAGTGCTATCGTGTCCCCCTGGTCCTTCTTCTCACTAGACTAGCCATACTTAATTCCTGCAACTGTTCTTCATAACCGTTCATCCTAAGCTATAGTTTACTGAATAAAGCAGAGTTTGGTATCATGGAGAAGGTGCTGGCCTAGAAACTGGAGATGAGGAGTTCTAGGTCCCCTTAGCCATTCAAAGCCAACTGAAAGACTGTGGACTTCCTCTCTTTCAGCCAACCCACCTCAAAAGCTTTGTGGCGAAAAGAGGAGGAAGAGGAAGGAGCATTAGGCATGTTTGCTGCTTTGCATTGGCCAAAATACAGTATATACACAGTGGAATAAAATCATCAACGCCATCCGAGTTCACATACCACCCAAGCCATTAAAAATGGTTTGCCAACTCCAACGGCTAGCTTCACATGCTTAAGTCAAAACTAAGTTAACCACACAGGCTGGATTTGATCAACCTACTAACCTAAAATGAACGGTTAGCTAATTTGTGGCTTGCAGACATGTTCAAATTCAGCCAATTTTCTTCATTTCTGGTTAATATGTTGGATAAACTCAGGCAACTGTATTAATCAAATAAAGATGGTTCAGTTAGCATGCTGTCCGAACACAGGCCTCGTAGCTTAGCATAATAAACTCGACTGTTCAATCACTGTTCAGAAGGGATAAAGCTACCTATTCAATTTCTTCTGCTGTTGTTTGCGCATGGGGAAATCGGAATGTTGTTACTATCCAGGCAGAAGTACTGTTGCCACTGGAGATATTATCCTGTTTAGAGCCCCACCCAGTATGTATTCAGCGTGGATGAAGAGCTTGCAAAGAGGCTAAAGACAGCAAGATTAAAGAAAGCAGATAGATGGATCAGTAATGGAAATAGCTGGGTTTTTTGCACCATTGAGATCAAGATTCTGAATTCAGCAAAGGTGAAACAGCAGAACTGAATAAGCTTCTTGAAGGAGAAGTGAAACATCTTCAGGGAAAAACAAAAACAGTCCAGTTGCCTCTTGAAAAAGCACCTTTGGGACAACCATGACCTGGATGGCTGAGAATCTCCAGACAGGTAGAAGGAACATCTCCAGAAACTCATCCAAGAAATAGCTGGAACAACACACCCAAAACAATTTCAGGATATTCATCCACCAGCCACACCTTCAGACCAGATGCAATTAATCCAGATTACTAAGTGTGCTACTCACAAGGAGAACTGCTACTGCTAAACAAATAAATATCAGGTCATTTTCTGGGTTTACAATCTTTAATATCTAGAATTCTGGCCCTCTGTGTTCATCAGAGTGGAGGGTTTCTCATATCTGATTCTTCCTCAAAAGAAGAGTTACTTGATTATTTACTTCTTTAACTCTTCAAATACAAAAAATAAAAAAATAAATGCCCAGGGTGGTTAATGGCAGGAAAAAAGATTTCAAACCCAACAATATCAACAATGTTAAAAAAAAAAACACCTGAACCTTCTTTATTTGATTAATAGTTTTTAAAAAAGAACAAACTTTCTCAGTTTTCCATGTTTGCCTAAATTGGAGAAACAGGAGAGCAGACAGATTTTCTTAGAGAGGACTTCCACAATTGTGGAGCCACCACCAAGAAGATCCTGTGCTACCTTTTCCCAACAGCAGGAAATCTCCACATCCACTCAGCTTAAACATGGAGATATACCTTTCTTGTAACACTAGATCTCTGAGGCCATTATTACACAAACAGAACTACTGTTGCCACTGGAGATACTTCCTCATCTGGCCATCCTTCTCTGTCCTCTTGTCATAGGATGCAGACTAATATTGGGACCTCTCCACGGATCAGCCCTATTCCCATAAAAGCTCAAGTCGTCTAAAGCATGACTTGATCCGCCCTTCCTCTGAAGACGAGGGTCAGGGATCATTTAGAAGAAACCCTCCCATACTACCACCTCTTACAATACTAGACAGCACAGTATCAACAGTAGAGACCTTCAAATTTCTAGGTTTTATCATATCACATGACCTAAAATGGACACCTAACATCAAAAACATCATCAAAAAAGCACAACAAAGAATGTTCTTTCTGCGCCAACTCAGAAAGCTCAAACTGCCAAAGGAGCTGCTGATACAGTTCTACAGAGGAATTATTGAGTCTATCATCTGCACTTCTATAACTGTCTGGTTTGGTTCTGCAATCCAACAGGACAGACACAGACTTCAGAGGATAATTAGGACTGCAGAGAAAAAACAATTACTACCCACCTGCCTTCAACTGAGGACCTGTATACTACACGAGTCAAAGAGGGCTGTGAAAATATTTACAGACCCCTCACATCCCGGACATAAACTGTTTCAACTCCTTCCCTCAAAACGCTACAGAGCCCTGCACACCAGAATAACTAGACACAAGGAGTTTTTCCCCTGAAAGCCATCACTCTGCTAAACAAATAATTTCCTCAACACTGTTCAACTATTTACAAAGTGTACACTACTATTACTGTTAATCTTCTCATCACTCCTTATCACCCCATCCCCTCTCACTTGACTGTTTCCTAGTATGATTTGATTGTTGATTGTACCCTATGACTATCATTAAGTGTTGTACATTATGATTCTTGATCCTTAACGAATGTATCTTTTCTTTATGTATACTGAGAGTATTTACACCAAGACAAATTCCTTGTGTGTCCAATCACACTTGGCCAATAAAGTATTCTATTCTATTCTATCTATTCAGATTAATCATCAACATTGCTAATACACAAATGAACCACTGCTCAAAACAGAGGAAAACAGATGAAAGACAGAGGACAAAGCACAATCCTGAGCTGTCCTAGTTGCTTCTATCTTTACGTGTTTGTTTTATACTAAAAATATTCTTTGGCTTGGCTCTTGCCCATAACCTTCGATGTAAGTTTACGGTATGTTCCAGAAAACCCAATCAGCAACAGCTTCTTCTCTTGAAACTAAACGAAAGCCTTGCTCTTAGCAAAGGAAACAGCAAATTACTCTATTTTTTTTTTCAATTAACTTTTTATCGAGCAGCAGATCAGGTCCAGTGCTTGGGAAAGGCTACATACCATTGTGTCAAAGTTCAAAGCAGGAAAACTCTAGTGGATGTCCCGATTTTATGCCAAGAGCTGACACAGTGAGATATGGATCCTCTCCAGAACATTCTGGTTTCTCAAAGCAGAATAACAGGATACTCTACTATGTGCCAACTTTTGATTGATGCTGTGCTTAAAATAACAAGCAAGTTAATGGAAAGGGGATGCATATTGAATTAGCCCTAATAATGGGTTGTTTCCCTCTGGTTTAGTCTGGTGGTTAAGCCCAATCAGCTTTGGTTCAAACTTAAATGGTTTGCTTAATCAGGCTAGCTGGTTGACTAAGCCACTGCTGGTTAGCTTCAGTGTTCCCACTAAATCAAATCATTGTTTTACAGATACTTTGCTGATTTCCCAATGGTGACAAACGAAGCAAACAAAATTATATCTGTAATCTAAACATATGCTTATATTTTAATTTTATATTTCATGTTTTATATTTTTTTATCTCTTGTAATGTTTTTTTATCGAAATGTGGTGTGAATGGGCCATATGATAAATGTTTTTCGAGCTTGGTTTGCCCAAGATGCAAAGCTACAAACCACTGAAGGGGATTGTATTTTGGAGATGGCATACATAATGATTTCAAGATAAGGGGATGCATTTGAACTTGGGAGGGTATGTTGGAGGGATGCTGTTCACCCCAGTTCCCCTAAAATGCATGGGTCCAGAACAAAGAAGTGGGTAGAGGGAGTCTCATTTAAAAACCCATAGCACATGGGCTCTGGGACTTCCAAAAGCGATGGGTCATGGTTCTCTGATTGAAGGAAATGTCTTAATGCATCCAGTAATTATGGGGGCTGTTAACACTTGATTCCTACAGAAATGACAACTCGAAATCCATTCCTTCTGCTTTCCAGGCTCAGTTCTCACACATTGGTGCTTCCATACATGCCAGAACGCCCTACATCTACAGAGTCCCCGATGAAGGGAAGCTGTGGTTTTTCATTCTCAATGTGATCCATGGAGTCCTCCCGCAGCTGTTTGTGTATCGCTGTATCCGCAGCCCTGAGTTTTTCATGAAAGCCCAGCTGGAAGAGAAGGTGGACTAAGAAGATGGCTTCAAAACTGGTGGGGTCTTGCAAGGAAGGGGTTGCCAGTTGTAACAAAGGTGTACTGAAAATAAAAGACTTCTGTCTTTCACAGTATTTCTCAAGAGCTTGCTTCCAGATTCTGTGGGAATCTCTTTCTCCAAATAGAATCGGTTTAGTTTGGGACTCACCCCGTGAGGTAGTGATGGGGGGGTGATGTTTAAACCACTCAAGAAAGCAGCTCCTTCGCTCCCCCAGGCAACTAACGCTTCTGGTGTTGTCCGAACTCTTGTTAATAAAACTCCCTCATCCATTTTTCTCTCTAATTATTCTCCCTCTGTACCAATTTCATTTTCAACCACACAAGTGATTTAAATGGTTTCAGGAATGAATAGCAGACTGGACATTTTTCTTCAGGTGGGGTCCATTTTGACCAACCCACTGGATTAAAAAAAAAAAATTCCCAAGGGGACGTATTAAAGACAAAACAAAAGTAGGAGTTTTCAGTCTTAGCTGGAAAATGATGTTCGAAGACCAATACAACCATCCTAGAAATTTTGCCACATCTTGCTGACAGTGAATATGCTGTTTTGTTATTATTGAGAACTATTGGGGAAACTACGTCTGCACAGAATGGTAACCATGGTTTCTTAACCTATGATTATTGACTGAATCCAATAATCTTGGCTCGTACAATACCAAGTCACAAGTTTAAGCCTTCAACTTAGCACACTCTAACGAATGGAGCAGCCATGATGAGGAGCTGCCTTCTTCAGCTCTGCACCCTCTCGGTGCTTCCTACAAAATCAATGGGGGGAAGCTGGATTTGCTTTGGCAAACAATTGCAGTGATTTGCTTAACAACCATGGCCCCAGAGATCATAAATTGGGGCATGATTTACTTAACAACTCCCCTGCTTTGTCAATGGAAATTCTAGCCCCCACTGTGGTACGTTGAGGGCCCCCTATAGGCAATGTTGGCTGCAATCATATACTAGTAGTAAAGGCTATTTAGCTTTGGTGGCCCAAATAAGTAGTGATTTGCTATTGCTTTTTTTTTTTCTCCAGGATTTTGTTTTTAGCTCCCCACTTCCCTTATTTCCTAGAAGTCTCTCATCCAAATATTAACCATGCCTGACCTTGCTTAGCCCAAATTGGCTAGGCACCACCTAGTAGGCAGTGGTCAAAGAGCCCTATCGATGCTCATGTGATGTGAAAATTTAGCATAGCAATAGCATTTAGACTTATATACTGCTTCACGGTGCTTTATAGTCCTCTCTAAGTTGTTTACAGAGTCAGCATCTTGCCCCCAACAATCTGTGTCCTCGTTTTATCAACCTCAGAAGGGATGGAAGGCCAAGTCAACCTTTAGCCCTGTCAGGATTGAGGGAATTGAACTTCGGGCAACGTGAGCCTGAAGTACCACATTCTAACCACTGCGCCACCATGGTTTGTGGGCCCTTTGCAGAGAGCCATGGATTGGTCTAGTCCTTCCAATATCAGATTCAGCACAACCGGCACAAATCAAAGCCATGGGACACACACAAAAAAGCTTTCCCCTGCATTGGTGTTCTATTATAACCAACTCAAGCGTTAACAGAATGCGTTGCTTTAATACTCGAGTTACATGAATACCTCACATTACACGTTATGAAGCCAAATATGACGCTAACTCAGCTGCTTACAACCTCAAACCTTACTCCCAATACACATTCCAATAAATTTATTCTGTAAAAACAATAGTTTTTTTGTTTTTTGATTTTTTTTCTTTTTTTTTGTACAGTAAACTTTTCAACTACAAACCTTGAGTACGCAGAGAGATGGTCCAAGGACGAGCATAACAAGGGTCGATAAAACCGGACTAAACCCATATGTCTTCACAATAAAAGCTGGCCTTAAAAAATAAATAAAATTCTCTATTCTCACAATAGCAACAATAATGTACACAGAATAATGGATTCTGGAATGCTTACCTACCTAGTCTAGATCTAGTTTTGAGAGTAGAAAACAAAACAAAAAAAACAGAAAAATGACAGGGTTTATTTCCCCCTCTTTTTGTTGTTTTTTAAGCTTTTCAGTATAACTGTTATTCTTATATTTTAATTGGATGTTTTGGCTTTGTTTCCCGTTGGCCTTTCAGTAATCACAATTAAGCTTAAAAGTGGAAGGCGTCCCCAAAACACAGTAAGCTCCAATTTGTATTGGGCCCCCCCAAAAAGTTCCTTGTTATTCATCTAGAGAAACACAAAAGACTTTTTACTAACTCCACATATAGGAACTAAGTTAGAGAAACTTACATTACGTCATGATCTTGAAAAGGATTAAGAGTATAGCTAAGCTAGAGTGTTCTAATAAGGAAAGGTACTTTCTTACAATTATTGACTTTTTGTTATAATGGTAATAAATCAAGTACATTTTCTTGTGAGGTTTTAAAAACAGAGATGGCCAACTTCTGTACTCCTGGTGGGTAGGAAACAATTGAATGTCCAGACAGAAGTTAAAAAATGGACTGCAGGAATATTTTTGCCATGGTGAATTCAATGAGCTATAAATGTGATGGAATCTTGATCCGGGGTTTCAAAATTTGGAATTCCATGTTGCTTTACATACAAAATATGTACATTTACATAATGCATACAAAATCCAAGGAGAGATGGCTGATCTTTTTCTTACAAGCTGAAAATACGTTTTTCCCCCCTCCCCTTTTCCTTAAAAAATGAAAATGCGAGCAAATCTGCTAAAAACACAGCCGGATGTCAGCGAAGAGAAAATTACTCAAGACAACCAGCATTCCTAAGTTGCTAGTTGGCCATGTTTGTTTTTAAACCCCCTTTAAAAAAAAACACCCCGCAGAACAAATGGATAAAGGGTTAATTTAAAACTTAATGATTTGTTAAGCAGAATAGAGATCCTTGTGACTTGTTAGGAGAGGGCATGTATTTCTAAGTGTTTAATTTGTACTCTCTAAAAGGCAGTTTTTAAAGATTCGGTTTAAAATTTAAGAGATGTTGCCCTTCTTTTTCTGTAAAAAAAAAAGTAGTAGTAGTTATCTAAAAATGGCCGTTGTCGGTGTGGGTCTTGCTTGAAAAAGAGACTTTTTGGGCAATTAAATAAAAGGACATTTAAAAAAGGACCTGGTGGGGTGTCAATGGGGCGTGGTATGATGTTGAAAGTTGCTGCTGAGAACAGAATGGGTAGGAATGTGGCTAAATGTGCATACAAACATATATGCTGCTGATGGACAGATGTGCTGACTTTAATCAAATCCAAGAATATTAAACAACCAAACATGTCAATTTCTTGTGTCTTCCCTTAATATGCAGCAGTCAATATGTTGGTTAAGTCTAGGGAAAGATAAAAAAACAAAGAGGGATCACTTTTTCAGATTGAAATGATTCCGTCAACATTAGAGGCATTCATACAAAAGAAAACTGAACTTGTTAAACGAGTTAGGAACAAGCCATCCTAAAGGTGTTTTTTCCAAGCGGCAACTGGACTTTCTTTGTTCTTCCTTGAAGAGGTTTCGCTTCTTATCCAAGAAGCTTTCTTCTGTTCTGACTGAATGAAGGGCAATGGAAGGATGTGTATCCCTTGCAGTCATCTGGTCGTTAGCACTCTTTCTGAGAGTCGTTGAGGCCACTTGGAGGTTTATCTGTGCCCACAGGGTCATCTGAAAAGCGCAAATGGATGTGGAACTTTCTTGGAGCTGTTGAAAGGATTGCGTAGTAAATGGGAGACAGGCGGTGTGGTATCTCTCCCCCTCTGTTGAGAAAGGGCCGTTCAATTTTGACATTAGAAGCGAAGAAACTTCTTGGAGGAGAAGCGAAATGTCTTCGAGGAAAAACAAAGGAAGTCCAGTTGCCTCTTGAAAAAGCTCATTTGGGAGAACCATGATCTGGGTGACTTGAGAATCTCTTTAGACATTCAGGAACAAGCCAGAATCCATATTGCGGACAGCAAAGCACTTATGGCTTGCCTGACTCAATTCCAGGCTCATTTTTCCCCATTCCTTCTAATGGCACCCAGCAGAGATGGGGAGAATACAAAGCAATCCAGTCTAAGCCCATTCAAATATAAAAGGCCATGGTTAATACAAGCCATGCTTTGTAACACAAAAAACAAAACATAAAACAGCTAGCCAGGTTTAAGTAGATTAATTAAAGTGAGCAACTAAGAAAAACACCAAGTGCACCAGGGAAATATCTGGAACTCAATTTTTAAGAAGTAGGGAGAAGCTACTGAGAGAGGACTCTCAAATGCCCATGTACAGAGCTTCAAGAACAGCCAATGCAACTGTGTGCAATGGCATGTTTAGAAATTATTCTGGACTCCTGGACATTCCTCTTAATGGGTTAAAACAAAGGACCCCTTGACCAGTTCACCCAGAGATCATGGTTGAGAGGCTGAAAATGTTCTTCAGCCTGGGGGATGGCTTCTGGAAGTTAAAAACTATTCAATAAAGTGAAGTTTCTGAAACGTAGTCTGTTTTAACAAATCTAGTTAAAGAAAACTACGGGGAAAATCTTGCTTTTGAACATATCACTGTCAAACTAGATGCTACTCTGTTCTGGCACTGAGGCCAGAACTCTGCCTGCCTTTCTATCTTCCCTAGCTCAGGGTTTCTAGGATGCGTTGAGGTTGCCCTTTTAGATGGACCAAGTGATATGTCCAACAGTCCGGCTGGCTGCAGAATTTGGGGATTACAGATGGATCCCACCCCCTCCATGTATCTATTTAAAATCACACAGCTTCGGAAGGAATCCTAAGGCCTTACCCCTTCACTAGTTTTCTGCAAGTCTGAAGAAGTGTTTCGTGTGTCGTTGCCTGCTTCACCGGCATCAGAGCTACTCTTATTTTCTTCCTCTTTGCAATCCTTATCATCTTCGTCTTCGGGAGATTTCCTTGATTGCTTGGAAGATTTCTAGGGGCATCCATCAAGAAAAACAAAAAAAACCAAAACAAAACAAAAAGTGAAACCAAAGCTATTTTCCCAAGCTATATAGCTTAGTATTAGTAAATTGTTAAGTTCTGGTTAAGAGTATCAAGATGACTATTCTTGGGTTTAATTACAAATGCATCAGCTTGTTTCCTGGGGTAGAAAGGAGTTTTATTCTTAATTGTTCCATCCTTTCCCTTCCCAAATAGCAATAGCACTTACACTTATATACCACTTCACAGTGCTTTACAGCCTGCTCTAAGTGGTTTATAGCAGTGGTCCCCAACCTTTTTTGTGCCAGGGACCAGTTTCACGCAGAAACACTTTTTCAAGGACCGGGGGGGGGGAGGGGGGGAGGAGTCCGAGTTTGGTGGTTTGCTTGCAGACGTTTCATTACCTGGCTAGGTAACATCTGATGTTGTTGCCTAGTCGGGTAAT